AAATGTGACAAATATTTTAAAAAAAGAAAGCAGGAAGGGGGCAAATACATTTTTACAGTACTGTACATGCGAATAATAATAATAATAATAAACAGTGAATGTGTCGGGGCTCTCTGGTGAACAAACTATGTAATGGAAACAAAACCTCAATAAATCGGCTTATATAACTTGTATACTGATAAATATAACTGCACATCCTGGTCAATTTGTCAGACCAGCTCTCTGTGAGAGAAACTTCCCCCTAAGTGCCAACGCACCTCAGGACTGTGTAGTGAGTGTAAAAATGAAAATAAACACTACTGCACTGATGAAAATCTGCCCCTTCAAAAAAAATGAAAAAAATGAAAATGAGGAATTCAAAACCCACGCAGTACACAAACTGACAGCAGGGCAGGAAACAACAGACCCTTTACAACGCCCACATACACACTGACACACAAAACACGGAGAGCAAGTCTACAAACTGCTGAGATGCACATCATACAAACATAAAACCAAGACTTTCATTTGTTCAACACGTGATGCAAGCAAAGCTGAACCCATTAAAGACACATTTTGGGAAGAAGAAAGTTTTGTTTTTTTTCTTACAAATTTACTATTAAATTAATTGCCAGGGTTCTGTGCGTTGTGACATGTAATCCCAGAAACCGACCCTCACCTCCTGATCGGATGCTCGCTGCTGCTGCTGTCCATGTCCGGGCTCGGGGGAGGGGCGGAGAAGGTGCTGAAGTTGAGGGACAGGGGTCGGGTCAGGGGTCGGGTGGAGGGCCGGGAGGCGTGCCTCCGCCGCAGTCCGTCCAGCATCTGCACACAAGGGGCGGAGATCATCACGGACAGATTAGAAATCCGGTTGGACTGAATGCGATCGTCTCCTCACAAAAGGGCTCATGAGGTGATCCAGTTGCTGTGCAGATGCACCAGCGAGTCATTCGTACTCTCACCGCCACTTTCTTAAGAGACAATGAATGAAACAAGGAACACGGACAAAAACAAATGGGGACGCGGGGGGGAAGTTACCATGAAAGGAAGATATAATGTGACATCTGGGTTCTGTTTCCCCATTCCGTTATTTCAACACCACGTAAGAGTGTTTTGTAATCGGAGCTCAAGCTACGCCCCGACAGCGACACAATAACACACACCTTGTATCAGAGGGAGGGAGAGAGGGGGAGGGAAATGCATGTGCGTGCATGCACGTTAGCCCTAGGAGAGAGAGAGAGTGTGTGCGCGTGAATTATTCCCGTGCAAGTCACGGAGGCAACATGGTAGTACAGTACGGTATGACCGGTCTGTTTGGGTGTCTCCCCGCAGAAGCGCACCGGGCGCAGCGCCGCCCCGCGGCCGGAGGAGGGATCAGCAGTCTGGGCTGTCGCTCCACAGACAAAGACACAACACCACGAGTCCCCCTTGTCCACCGCCCACCACGCACACACACACACACACACACACACACACACACACACGTGACACAACTCACGAGTGGTGTGTTTCCAGGGTGGTCGGCCCGCCGTCTCTGAAGAGTGAGATCACGCGCGACGCCGAGAGGCCACAGATCACACACGCACACACACACACACACACACACACACACACACACACACACACACACACACACACACGCACACACGGTCTACCCAGCATGCCGGGCCACGCCAGTCTGGGCATTCCAGCATCTGTTCACCCCCCCTCCGGTTTCTTTTTGGGAGCGATCTCAGTCAGGTCGATGCCACACTGGATTGATCCCTGTCTCCGCGTTGCGTTTCCGGCCCGTCAGACATCCCACCGCCCGATCACCGCCGCGTCCGTTCGCCCAATCAACCGGCCGGACGCGCGATCAACAGCGCGCGTTCGTCCCGCGCGGAGGAACGTTTCAGCGCCGCCGTGCTTACGTGAAGCGTTCTCCACACTGTCCACCCGCGTGGACGCGAGAACGAGCCGAAGCGGACGACGCGGCGTGTCCCCGCCGTACACACGGGACGCGCCACAAAGTCCCCCGTTTGGACGAAAAAAACAGACCCGCACAATAATGGCCACAAAGTTGTCGTTGTGTCCTGTTCATCCGCCCGCCCGCCGGCCGCAGCGCGCACTCACCGTGCCCGCTCCTGTTCGCGTTGTTCCTGAATGGGATGAAAAAATGTTTACGGTCCCGGCTCAGCAGCCGCTGGCTCCTCTACTGTTTGCCCGCAGGTCTGCGCACCCAAAGGGGTCATCGGGGTGCAGACGGATCCGACCTGCTGAGCGGTGGAGGGGGACTCATTCATGAAGCATGCGCCGCTCTCTCTCTCTCTCTCACTCTCCCTCCCTCCCCCTCTCGCTCAATGGCTCGCCCCCGCTTTGTTTTGACGAGATGCAAAGCGAACCTGAGCGCGGGAAAACAAACAAGAGCACTCTTGTTTGTTTTCTTTGCAGCGCGCAGACGCGCATTGTGGTTGAAGCTTAAATGTGAAGCAGGGGAATCACTGGGATTCAGGACTGAAACACAGTGGTAATGAATCTTGTCACACTTCCTGGCACGTGTAGACCCGTTTTGTTTGCCTTCTTGTGCATTTGACGGTATGATGTGCACGACGAACTGAATGATGACACATGTTATTCAGCAATGACCCCAATCTTTGCCATTTAACGGGGTGGGTGTCTTCTTCTGCCATCTGTCAACGCAGGCTCGTGCATCTCACCGATAATCCCAGTTTTTGATGGGCCGTGATAAACTGGGTCTCGTGAGAAATTCCACTGGTATAAAAAACTTTCAATTAGAACTGAGGCCCATGTCTGGCCTACATTTCAGTTGACCCTTCAGCACATGGGATTTAAGTGGAAAGAAATGAGCAAAACACCAAATCCTGACACTCACATGCACGGAGCTTCTATCAACGAGGTGAACATTTACACTAGAGGCTGTACTCCAAATATACACTGAGGGGAAGTATTTCTTTCTGTGCACATGACTCATTGAGCAGTTTATTATAAGTGAGAACGTGTGGAAAGGTGCGTAAGGACAGTGCAAATGAAGGCAATATTTCTATGATTACAATAAAAATAAAATTACAAATTTAAGAAATGAGGAGAACAGTTAGCATATGTCTATTTGATCTTGGGGTCATGAAATGTTTTACTGAATCCTCCTAGTCCATAAATGCAATGTCACTGCCCTGCATACCTCAGCTGCATATTTCAAACATCTAAATGATGCTGATGACGAAAGTAGTGGGTTGGTGAAGCGGATGTGCAAATGTGGTTTTGGGGATCCTCCCCCATGAATTTACAAGGGTATATTATTGTATTTTGTATTGTATCAATTTTGGATGCATTCATTTGAGAGTCTTTTTATCTAAATGTATTGTAAAAACATCTTATGTAAAGTAAAAAAAACACATTTAGACACCAAGTGACCATTTACAATTTGAAAATGAATTTTCATGTAATCTATGTAATACAGTATGGCACCTTTTCAAATCCATATTAAATGAATTTGAAAAGGATTATTTAGAATCGTACACGGAGGCAAAAGCACAGAAAAGAAAGAGGTTGTAGTGTTTTGTTGTTGTAATACAAATGTTAACCACAGTAGGCTGTCGTGCACCATTACACCATGTCTTCAAATAGCACCAAACGCCTTTGTTTTTGTTGCAGGAGCTTTTACAGGAGCTTTTACGAGAATCACATTTGTGTGGTGTTGGGGGAGGAACATTTAAACGCATGGAGACAATTCCACCAACGTTGATCTGTGTTGTATGTAATATATTTAACAAATCCTACTGATTATCTCGAAAACAACTAAAAAAAGGTCAGGTAAGCTGTGATTGTTATTTTATAGTGCCATGTATTTTTGAAGCGAGTCAGATTTGTATCCTTTCTACTGATGTCATAATAAAAATAATAACATGATAATATGACATGCATTGAAAAATCTTCTCTACTGTCACTGTCTGCAGTCACACTCATGAGCCAGTTTGTGAAAAACATTAAAAAAAAAAAAGTATTGAATTAATCTCGACACATTATTTTGTTATTGGTGATGATGAAATGCTGTGATTGGTTGTTGCTTTTGCCAAATGTTCGCAGTGCAACATCAGTGGATTGAACTAATTGCACAAATTAACCTTTTGACAATAAACAAATATATTGCACCACACATGTGATCAAATGCTGGATGATTCCTACATTTTTGTAATCCGTATAGAAAAATAGAAATCAAAGTGCAGTGCATCATATTAAATTGGCAAATTATCCTTTTAAATCTATTCCAAAATTAGAATATTTTAAAAGGGCTTTCATGTTGCAATCCTGGATATGGATATATTGCATTCTCTGAGGAGTCAGCCATCACACCCAAGTGCAACTAGTCACTGTGTTTACCCTAGAAGTTTCATTTTGAAATCATACTGTCTGTATTTCAAGTCTTAACACATTTGGAACCATATTATCCTTGAAAACTATTATTAAGATGTGTGATTTGTCATTTAATCATCTACTTACATTTACTGATTCTTATTTCGAGGTGAGAGTCTACACGCTCTGCGGGTAGTGTTGTAATACACACGCGCTCTGCGGAACGACGTGCGGGCTGGTTTCACCGGGTTTTTGGACGCGGAGGCTGAAACGCAGGAAAAAATCCGCATGAGACACCTAACTCCGAATTACCAGCAATGTTACATATTGAGGCGTTCAGGTCATGAACTAAAATAGAAAACCACACACACTGATGGGGAAGAAAAATAGAAAGAAAATGTGTACATTTCTACCACTCATTATATATTTACAAATATTTTCAATTATCCGTGTGTGTCTTGACCATAAACTAATTCCGCTCATAATAAGTAGGAAAACACGTAGACACTAGAAATGAAGTCTTCATATTCCGACTGGACCTGAAGGCAGCACTAACTCCTCTCCGGTGAACCGCGCGGGAAGTTCTTCAGTTCAAGACATTCAACCTGGTTTAAAATGTAGCGAACGCACCGCTCAACTCATTTAACACAATAACCCACTTTGAGGAACTTCTTGAGAACTACCCGGTGAGTTTGCGTGGCTATGAATGGATTAGCTAACGTTAATTTACAACGACATTCGGCTAACGTGACATTTGACTCAACGCCAGCATTAAGCTAGCTTAACTTCGCTTTTCTCTTTACAACGTTAACGTTAAGTTGCGTCTGCGCTTTGAACAGTAGCGTCCGGGATGTCTCATGTCTTATGTTAAATTAGAACATCTGCAGGTATGGAAACATTAACTAAAGACACATGCCTGTTGATTTTAGTGACGGCAGGAGACCTCTGCAGTCATGTCGGACGCGCCCGCGACGTAGACACTAGAATGAAGTCTTCATATTCCGACTGGACCTGAAGGCAGCACTAACTCCTCCTCCGGTGACCGCGCGGGAAGTTCTTCAGTTCAAGACATTCAACCTGGTTTAAAATGTAGCGAACGCACCGCTCAACTCATTTTAACACAATAAACCCACTTTGAGGAACTTCTTGAGAACTACCCGGTGAGTTTGCGTGGCTATGAATGGATTAGCTAACGTTAATTTACAACGACATTCGGCTAACGTGACATTTGACTCAAAGCCAGCATTAAGCTAGCTTAACTTCGCTTTTCTCTTTACAACGTTAACGTTAAGTTGCGTCTTCGCTTTGAACAGTAGCGTCCGGGATGTCTCATGTCTTATGTTAAATTAGAAACATCTGCAGGTATGGAAACATTAACTAAAGACACATGCCTGTTGATTTTAGTGACGGCAGGAGACCTCTGCAGTCATGTCGGACGCGCCCGCGGAGAGGAGCTCCGCTGCACCGACGCGCTTCGGACAGGTAACGGGGACGTCCGGCGGCTCTCGTTGTGTTACCGCGGCGCAGAGAAACACCTCGGTAACACACCGCCACGAACCCAATGCACTCCCGACTGGCTCATTCTATTTCAAGAACGATCCTCAGCTGTGCAGGAAATCAACTGGGATAACATCAGAAGCTGGTGCACATCTGCTTCACCCGATGCATGCTGGGAAAGGGTTCGGAATGAGCGATGGTTAATTGGCTGCAAAAACAAGCTGGTACTGAGGAGGCTGATCATATTTTGTAATGCATCGCTCCTTACTCTTTTTAAAACGTGTACAATTTATAAATATATTGTATCAACTGTGTGGATGAATATCCCCAGTGAGCACAAGACGTAATTTCAACGTTGAAATATGGTTGAAATCGGGTTGAAATGAGGTCTGAACGTCTAAGACCTCATTTCAACGTCTTTTCAACCGGCTAAAAATGGGATGAAACATCAACGTGCCAGAAAACGTCAATTTGTTGATAAATGTGTCATGTTGTAACGTAAGGTTGAAAGATAGACGATATTAACGTTAAGATTTTCATAATAATTAATGAACTGGTCGGCGAAATTTGGTCTACGCGAAGACGTCATTTCAACGTATTTAATATTTCACTTAAAACGTCATAAATATGAAACTACGGACTGCGTGCTGTTAATAAGATGCGTTTAAGACATAATAATGCGGGCAGGTTCAAACATTACTTGTAAACACGTGACTCCGCTCACATCTGTAACGCGCATGCGCGAGTTCTTAGACGCCTGCAGAGCTCCGAGCGGACGAGGCGAAGTTACGGCAGCGGAGCGACATGAACGGGCTGATAGAACCACGACTACCGGCTCCACTACTCTGTAAGTACGCGAGTGTTTGGATGAAGCACACATGGAACTATAACCGGGTGTTTTACTTGTGCTGCCCACCCGATACGGGAAAGACGGCCCTTTTTGTTAAGCTAGTTAGCGTTAGCGCAGGTAGTTTGCTAGTTAGCATGCTAGCTTGGAGCATGCTAGCGTGCAGCATGATGACCTGGACCAAAAGTAAACATCCCAGAATATTTTTCGCGTGTTTGGTGTTACTAATGCGTTAGGTTGTTGCTGTACCCATAAATGTTATTGCATTTCACACTGAAGATACGTTTTTAAAGCAATGGGGGCTAAATACAGATTGCAAGGGTGAAGGGCTGAATTCAACAAGTTGTGCTCTGTAAACAAGAGGGCCAACACATTGTAAGTTACTGCTGCTTAAAGCATGATACTGTGTAATATACCTGGACATGTTACTCCAGAAATACCATAAGTTGCAGATGAATTGTTATCTTGTTTATAATGTAATAAGTAAACCATCTATAAATGAGTGTTCTAACACACCTGCTGCTGTTATTATTACTAGTTTATTACTGTCATCATAAACCCAAATGACCAACTTTGCCGTTGTGCTTCCCTCCTCACAGGTTTCTGCGGGTGGTGGTTGCATCTGATGGAGGTTACGTCTGATGATGGTTGTCCCTGCACTGGTCCTGCCTTACCCCTGGCTTAGTAATCCACAATATTAGAATCATTTCTGTCGTAGGAATTGGATGTACTGTACATCTTTAAATTGTTCATGCTCTACACACCTACTGCCTTGCTGTTTTCTCCTCAGGTTTCTCCCGGTTGAAGGTTTTTTACATTTTGGGGGTTTTGGGACAGGATGTTGCATGTTTACAGATTGCAAAGCTGAACAAAATAAAATGATTTGAATTGAATAAACACATTGACCAGAGAAATCTGCAATTGAGGGCTGTTCTCTGCACTCTGACTCCCTTTACACAAAGAATCATCAAGTGAGGATGAGGGAGATGCAGCTGATTTCAGGTATACTATCCCAACTCAAGTGACTCACAGCCACATCTTGTTACAGAATCTAAAAATGAAGTTCAAATAATTCAGAAAAATGGTCTACAAACACAGAATTGTTGTTGTTGAACACAGAAATGTTGTTTCTGCACTTTTAAATCCATAGTTAATTTCCCTGAAATATATATTTTATTTTTGTATTTTTAATTAGGAAAAGTGTTATATGTATAGTGTTATATTTATAATAAATACAAATCAATAAAATAATGTGTTTGTCCTTGTTAAGGGCTGTTAACATGACAACTGTGACTAAGTATGTAACTTGTAAGTTTCCAGCGAGCAATTTATCCGTTGAAACAACGTTTAAAAGACGTCTATGGCCCGACGTTGAAAAGAGGTTGCAAATTGGTTCAAAAGTGAAAGTTGTTTCAACGTCTATTCGTAGACGTTGAAAAGACGTTTACGTTTAGACCACATTTCAACCAGCGAGCATTTCAACGTTGAAAAGACGTTTAAAAGACGTCTATGGGCCGACGTTGAAAAGACGTTGCAAAATGGTTTAAAAGTGAAAGTTGTTTCAACGTCTATTCGTAGACGTTGAAACAACTTTCGCGTATAGACCCGTTTTCAACGTGATTTATAATATCGGTGGTAAACTTACAAATGTGGACGTAGTTTCTTTTTAAACATCAAAAATAATGATATAGCACACAAGAGAGGACGAAATATTACCGTATTAAAAAATCACGTTGAAATGTGGTCTAAACATAGACGTCTTTTCAACGTCTACGAATAGACGTTGAAACAACTTTCACTTTTAAACCATTTTGCAACGTCTTTTCAACGTCGGGCATAGACGTCTTTTAAACGTCTTTTCAACCAAAAAATACTCACTGGGTCACATTTAAAACCTTTTGGGGTCAGGGTCTTACTCGTTAATCGGACACTCCTACACCCTTTTATTATGCCGTGGTCTACATGTGTATGTGTGTGTGTGTGCTTAGTTTTTCTTTGTTGTCAGTGTGCCTACACAGCCGAGGAGCAGGAGGCGGTGAACAAAGCTCTGTGACAGAAGCTGGGACCAGAGTACATCAGCAGCAGAATGGCTGGCGGAGGACAGAAGGCACGTCCTTGTTTATCTCTCTTTTTCAGTTTCCTGTTAAACCTACTTCAAGCCTACTGCAATTACTGCAAAAGTGCACCCTCATTGTATTGATGGTCGTTCCCAACCAGCATAACATAAAGCGTGCATGTGGTTGACTTTTAGCCCTCTCACTTTCACATCGACTCTTAAATGGACTCTTCCAGGTTTGCTATGTGGAAGGGCATCGTGTAATCGGCCTGGCCAATGAGATGTTTGGGTACAATGGATGGTCTCACTCCATCTCTCAGCCGATGTCGGTACGACTCATAGTTTTTTCGTCACCAAAGACTACTGTTAAACCCAAGTGACGGTTGAACTAAGAAAACGCGTCTATTTTGCAGACTTTATAGACATCATCTACGGGACGGGAAGTTTTATGTCAGAGTGAGCGTGTTTGTCAAAGTGCAACTGAAGGTAGGAGGATACTTATTTTACTGTATTGGTTTGAACATTTAACAATATCTATATGGTGAATCATCTGATCAAGATTATTAGACTAGAATTCCCCTTTCTGTATTTCCTGCTTCTTGTCCACGTGAGTTTGTGTGTGTGGTCCTTGTCCTCCAGGATGGGGCGTACCATGAGGATGTCGGGTACGGGGTCAGCGAAGGACTGAAATCCAAAGCTCTCGCGCTGGAGAAGGCGAGAAAGGAAGCCGTCACAGACGGCATGAAAAGAGCACTCAAGTACTGGAATTTCATGTCTTCTCAGTATGAAACATAAAGAAATACCATTTTGAATATACAATCGTTCTAAAATATATGCGTGTGTTTTTCTGGTGTTGTTTAGATGCTTCGGTAATGCTCTTGGAATCTGCATCCTGGATACCTTATAGCCATTAACAACATTCCCAAACAGGTCTGCCACAGTATTATAATATTTTAACATTTAGTCTCTGAGCGTATTTGGGGTTCTGAATGTTGTCCTCCACACAAAGCCTCCTCCTCCTCTAGACCCGGCAAAGACGAAGCGCTGCGAGAGAGAGCCCTCCGTGGAGAAGGCCCGGTACTCCAGCATGCTCCAAGAGGAAAGGCTTCAATCCGCTGCGGGTTCTGGGAGGATGCCGCTGGACCCTCGAGTCCTCAACCACATCCAGAACTATTCAGAAGTTTACACCCCGGATGCTGCCGGCCCCGCTGACAGGAAGAGTGACGACAATGACTCCAAGTAAGCGTGATGTTTGCACGTTTTAAGTGTGCAAAATGCTTTAAGTGAACCCTTTTATATTGTGCAGGTGGGGAATGTGCCTGGAATCAAGTATTTTTTTTTAATAATGCTTAACTTCCAACATAAGCAGGCGGTTCATCGGCCGTCACACATGTAAATCAAACTTAAAACGAGAAAGTAAAAGCACTAGTTGAATAACCACAGCACTAAACTTTACTATTTTGAGTGTTTAAAACCTTTTTTCTTTTTTACAATTTGCATTTATAGCAGCAAATTTAGACCCTCAAGGGTCATCAAGTGTTTTCATTGGGCATCACCTCCAATCTGTTTCCTGTTTTCCCAGCCATGGACTCAGTGAAAGTTGGCATGTCACTGGAGCACACAGACCCCAAACAGCTGAGAAAGCTCCGACAGCAGGAGCTTCAGCAGAAGTTCAGGAGAGAGATGGAGAGCAGGAAGCTGCAGCAGATCCCGGGTCAATCCAAGTGCGAGGACACGCGGGGGATTACTGGACGAGCCTCTGCTGGAGGTGGGGGTTTCACGTGTTGCCATAAGTGATGTCATCGGGTTTTTTGTGTGAAACACGAGTTGTCTTGCCACTCTGCCGCCAGGTTTTATTGTGCTGGAGTAATAAAAGTGTTAAAGTGTAGGAGCACATGTCAAGGGGGGTGTTTATGAAGCTGTATCCATTCTGCCAGGTCTTGAAGATGAAGGCACTGCACACAGGAAGCCAAGCGGCAGGGACGAGCATTTAGCAGGTTATGTTAGCCGCCACCAGAAGGCTCAACATACTCTGACATCGTGGTGAGGAAACCAGTCTCTCTTCACCAATCAGCAGTCGCTACGACCTTTTTCATTTCTTTTTTTTTGCTTCTTTTTCTGCAGATGATCCTGAGCTCTGGGATTTCTCTCTGGATGGGATCGACCTGCTGGACGTCCCTGCCCCCAGGGGGCTGGTACGGGGCACGCCCAGCAACCACAAGATGCAGACCCCCACATCAGAACCAGTACCCGGCCCAACCAGGTGAGATTTCACCCAAGAGATGTCGGGAAGCCGTCAGATGAATGTTGCCGTTCTAAATCTACCATTTCAATGTTACAGGTGAAGCAGTCAGTCCGCGCCGACAAGGACAGCACATGAAGAAATGCAAACTGGACACATGAGATCTTATGTTCCACACCGTTCCAACTTAATTTTACTTGAGTTTTTTTTTATTTTAAGTGTTACATTGTTACCTTTGCAATAAATTACTGCCAATTGATTCGCTGAAAAAATCTTTATGTATATAAATTAAACACAGGTCAGTCAGCTGGGTTCTCTATAGAGGAAACCAAGAAACATGATCAATAATACAAGAATGTGTATTAGGTTTTCAATTCCATAATGTTTTACAAAAACATCCTAGAAGAGAAGAAAATATTAAATTAAAATGGCACAAACTGGTTTACTGTAATTTCAATAAGCATGACAAGCACTTTTAATTGATATTATTTTTATTTGTTTTTACATTTTGTACAATGTGAAAAACATACACAAAACAGACACTGAATCACAGGTCAGTAAGGAGGGATCAGAAATAAAGAGCTGAACAGATACGGTTGCGTGTCAGTAGCCTCAAACAGAAGTGTAGAGGTCTGTGATATTACGGATGATCGCCTCGTAGCATATGGACCTTTAAAGAGCTTTGTCGTGACCTTGTGTTGTACAGTGGCCAGTCGTGAGTCGGTTGTAAGATTAAACACGTGTGAAGCTAGCATGCAGAAACCATATCCTGATAGTCTGATATTAGTGAATAACATTTGAACAGATCAACGCGTTTTGATCACTTTCAGGAAGGCAAAGAAGAAAAAGGATATCTAACAATATCAAAAACATTGAAGTCCGCAATAACCCTCATCAGCATGCAGATGTTTCAATTACCCCTCCGCCCCTTCAAACATTGCATATTCTGCATTGCAGTAACTTATTTTTTCTCTAGAGAACTTTTAACTATTCATCCAATCTACGAGCAGGCGAAAGTCACAACGACAGCACGGCACTCGTGTGAGGTGGTGGAACTAAAAGGTGAGCCAGCATGACGTTTAACCCTTTATACAGCTCACTCACAGCTTGAACAAGCACAAATCCCCTGCACAGATACCTACCACCACCCCCCCGTGATGATAAGGTCAGGCATTGACTTTGGGGTTCGTAATAATAAAAATGGTTCAATGATAAATCCACAGAGACCAAATAAAAACACAGCTGAATACACAACCATCACAAACAGAGCTGTGGCAATAACAGACGCACGTTCACATTACCCAGTGTGCTCTTTGTTTGTTTTAGTGTCACATACGGCGAGCCGCTGCCCCCCCCCCCCCCCCCCCCCCCCTCTCTTCAGTGTCTGCGCCTCGTCCACGTTTAGTCTACTGGTTGTCTGAAGTACAGGCGCAGCTACGGGACTAGAGGAATCTGGAACATGTCATTAGTGAGGATGCAAGGCACTAAAGTGTTCCTCATGTTTACAGGTCAGAGTGCGTTTGCAAGTCACCTGCTGGTCGGCCGACCACAACACCACAATCACGCTGAAGTGGCCGAGCATTACGTTAAAGCGTCTACCTCACATTGACAGATACGGTACAATAGAACGGAGGGCCGGGCAGTCGGAGAGAGGAGCTTAATAAAACAACAGGTTGGCTCCCGCGTGGTGAGTAGGACACCATCGACAATCCTGCAATTGCACTTTTTATATTCATTTAACTACCTGTTTAACCACCTTTAATAATAAACAGTGAAACAACATCAAAATCTGATGGCTGAATACAGGTCCATAAAGAAACATTTGTTTTTATTAAATATACGCATACAAAAACAGAACACAGAAAGTATAAAACAACCCTCAAACAGAATGAGATTTCAGCAGCATCACCTCTACAATTGCACACTGTGAATGGCGGTCAACACCAGGACAATGTGGCAGATCGACTGGTTTACATGCCAGGCGTGAAGGATAAATCTGTATAATAAACCGGGATGGACGGAGAACTCAAATCACGATGTCACCAGACTCACAGCGACATAAATACGCAAAAACATGGAATCATAATCCAGTGAAGAAATATCTATGTACAAAGTCAATGTTTAAATGTGTTTGGGGATTAAGGCCACAGTTACAAGGGACAGTTTTTCTACTCTTTGCCATTATTGCATTTTGCTGAATAGGTAGCGATGGGGTGTATTCATACTGCAAACCTACGCATTACACTCCTCCCTAACTTCCTAACGTCTTTCTTCTTCAACTCAACCAGTCATACTTTGCTAGTCCGTCTTGGACATACTAGGTGCACCTCTCTAATTTCCTACTTTCTGTTCACGTCCCCCCCACCTCACTCTCTGAGATCACTTTACCAACATCCCCTATTGTTTTTCCAGGTGTATGTGTGTGTTTGTGGGAATATATGTGGTGTTTTAGTTTAACCGCCTTGGGTCCCAGTAGGGCTTAAAGTCTTAATATTAAGGATGGGAACCAGAATCCACCCTACCTTCTCTTCAAGAGGGAATGACGACGCCTGCTCTCGAAAGACATCTTTGTTGGTCATCACGGCCGGTTAAGTTTGAGACTTCTGTGCTGTGGATGGTATTGCACTCTGCCTATAATTGCCGGACAGATTTTGTTCTGCCTGAGGACGTGAACCACATTAGCTCAGCTCCATTACAGGAAATAAAAAAAATAAAAAAATTGAAATAAAAATAAAAAAAGCAACACAACATGCAGCCAGTTTACCAGCCGACTGCAAGGAGAGCTAGTGCTTTTTTATTAAACTGTCTGCCCTGTTTTGTCCTCCGTCTGAGGGGAATAGGAAAACAACGGGGCTACGTGGGCTTCAGGTTGGACCCTCCGGGAATGACTGAACTCTGGGGGGCTGCTGTGGTTCCCATGTGGTAGCCTGAGGCTGTTGTAGGTGGCTGGTACTGTGTTATCGACTGTGTGGAGTTGAGCATGCTGACCTGGCACGTGCCCGTGGGTCCCGCCCACTGAGGAGCACTGTACGGGGCCGAGGCATATGCAAACCCTGGTGCAACCGGACCCAGGGAGCCTTTACGAGGCCCCAGAGGGGCAGAGGGATTGGTTGGGTTGGGGAGATGAGTCGACGTCGTGGACGTGGTGCTAGAAGACGAGGGGAGTGTTGTGCTGAGGAAGCCGGGCGCTGAGAATTTCCGGCCCATGTTGGCTGGAGGGATGACCTGCAACAGTTGGGGGAGGTGGGGGGTAGACGTTACTACTGAATATGCAGGAATCTTGCAACCTGTGTACATCTGCAGCTTTTAAAGATGACGCTGAATGCCTACATCATGTCCCAGGGGTGATGGAGCTCCAGTTTTAGGTCCCCTCCTGCCCTGGGCGAGGCCGATGGCGTCCCTGGCCCAATTATCCACCAGTAGGTGCAGGTCATCAGTGAAGGTGCCCTTTCCCTTCTGAGTGTGGGAGGACGGAGGAGCGGGTCCCGTTGCCTGGGTCAAAGACGCGGAGTGGTTCTGGCAGTGGCCTGAACCATTTGCAGAGCTGGTCCCACTTGATCCTGGTAAGCAAGAACAAAATTCAAGGAATTGCTGCAATAGGCGCACGGTGAGTAGATTCAGTGCTTGCACATACCTGTGGAGCAGCTACTGAGGGTGGGCATGGATGGGGAGGATCTGAGCTGCTTTATGCAGGACCTGCTCGCTGTTTGAGACGCCTCGGCTGCGGTTTCTGAGGCCTCTATTGATGAGGGGGAATTTTGTTTTGGAGGAGATGCTAGACCATGAAGATTCTGAGCTGAGGACGGGGATCCTGAACGTATAAGCAGAAGACACAAAAGCATGTAAACATTCACGTAGGAACATTTTTAACTGCTTTAACAACGGATTGCAGCACTGACATCATAGAGAGGATTCACTTTATCTTGAGTGTCCTTACCCGAGTGTTTGGGACTGGGTTGGCCGCTACAGCGGGAAGATTTGCTTTTGCTTTTTTGCCTTCGTCGACTTCCACCCATCACCATAGCTGGAGAGAAGACAGTAGTCGGGGGAGGTTTTCCCATCATCGAATATAGGGCGTCTACCTCCTCTTTCTGACGAGTCTGCAATGTCTGGATCTCTGTCATATGCCTGCGAGAGCGGGTTGAGACATTCAGTCATGATAACATATTTCCATAGAGCTGTTGATTTACACTAACACGAGGAAGTGGAGGAAGCGTGAAGGAGAATTGCAAACATGTGGCTTACTTTTCTCTAAGACGGCTGATTTCTTTCTGCAAAGCCCCGCCCTCGGTCTCAGAGTCGTTGTTGTCACTACTGTAAATGGTGTGTGCATTATGAGGATCGGAGGGTCCGTTCTGCATACTGGAACCATGCGGACTGGAGCCTCCTGCTGGAGCTGAGGTCACTGAGGGAATGTGTACACATGAGTTTGTTAAGGATACAAGTGTGCCCGGGGACCTCGCATGATTTAATAATGTACACAAAACATTTGTGATGCTTTTGTTTTAATGCACGAGTCGTGCATTAACATAATGGACTGAAAATCTCAGTAGCTAAAGAAGTCTACTGAATATGCAAAAATGATCCAAGCTCTAAATAATATAACTCGCTGCAGCCTCCGACACTGGGATTAATAAAGAATTGTGAAATAGGCACAGGTAAAGCATTTTACAGCTCATATCATGAAAACCCATCGACAAAAGCAATAGCTGTGATAATTGATTCTTAAAATAATAATAATAATAATAATATTAATAAGATTCACTCAGCCTGCACAGTTACAGAACAGCATACTATTAGTAAAGGTGGGTTTACTAGTAGTATGTAGTACTATTTTAAATCAAAGCAAGCTTGATTTGCTGAACTTTGAACCCAATACGTGCCTGTGACAGAAAAGCGGCCCACTTTAGAACCAGGGGTCGGCTCAGAGGTCATGTTGGTGCTCTTGGACACTTGGAAGCGCCCAATAGTGGTCGGCCGACCAGCAGGCGCAGCGGACAGGGGGAAGGCTCCATTCCCAGAGTCAGTCTCACAGACTACTTTGGACAGGGAGGATGACCGGTGGAGGGTATTTTCTGGACTTGAGAGGGAGGAGGAGGATGATGAGGAAGAGGAGGAGGTAGAAGACGGCGTGAGGGAAGCAGAAGAAACTATGCTGGTGGGATCTTTAACACAGCTGGACACAAGGTCAGTAGCAACAGACACCTGGAAAAGAGGGGGAGAACATATTAATGACCCAAGGAGCTCCAAGAGATTCAAGAGACTGAATCAACCGGCTGCATTTTAGGCCGAGACTTCAAACTTACTTGGAAACGTCCCAGAGTGAAACCTGCGGCTGGAGGCTGGATTAGATTACCTTCCTGAACCGTCTCTGGGCTCAGAGCTCTCCTCAACTGGGCGTCCAAAGGACCCGGGGGTTTCTGTGACCGGAGTCACGCAAACAGAATATTGGGAAGAATATACAGTTGCACATATCTATATCTACACTGTGTGTGAAGAACATACAAAAGCAGTAAGGTAGGGGGTATCACCTGATTTGGTCCAGGAAATGGGGACAGATGTTCAGAGGGAGGAGTAGAAGCTTGGTCAAAACCAGTAGGTAAAGTCTGAAAATAAAATGTAGAAGGAATTGAAGCCGACAGTTAACCAACAGCGTTTAGGATCTTTGTCTTGCATGCAGCAGTCCTCACTAACCTGCGCCCTGGGTTTGGTAGGAGGCGTCTGTCCTGGCGGGTTAATACCCTGTCCTGGGGTGGTTGTGGGGCCCGGGACAGCCGGCGCCCCCGTGGTGAGGGCGAGGTTAGACGGGGGCACCAGGGCAAGTCCGGGTGGAGGAGAAGAGGTTCCGGCGGGAGGAGAGGAGGTGCCTGTGTTCTGATCCACTGAGGCAGACGTAGAGCTCTGATCTTTAAATAGGGACCGTAGCTTCTTATCCAGAGCCTGGATGGCGTCTCTGCCACCAGTCTTGTTCGGGAGCTCCGCCCCCTCCGACTCCACCGGCTGGGGTTGGACCTGGCTCTGACTGGGCAGAGCAGGCTGAGACTGGGTTGTTGTGTGCGGTGCTGAATGGACGAACGGATTCACAGGCTGCTGCTCTGAAGCGGGGACGGTGCTACTGGACTCGACGCTGACAACACAGGAGACGGAACCACTGCTCGGGTGAGGCCCGGGGGCCGCGGGGACGGAGGTCTGCACTGACGGGGAAGGAATGGTGGAAGCGACGTTGGCAGCCGGCGGAAGCGGTGAAGGGGCCTCTTCATGGGCCGACTGCGGAGGTGGACTGGGATCACCGGGGACAGGGGCTGGAGTTAGGGACTGAATAGATGCAGGTGGAGGGGAAACCCTCCCAGTTGAGGGAGGCGGTGAGGATGTTGCCGTAGATGTGACACCAGGAAAAGTAATGCTAGCAGTGGAAGCTGCGGCTTCTGGAGGAGCCAAGATAGTGTTCGAGTTTGGGGCGAGTCCGGCCTCAATGGCTTCGTGCTCGGCAAGAAGGGGATCGATGGTGCTGCTTCTCTCCACGCGCGCCTGCTTCATTCTACTGAAAGCCTGCTGGAGAACTCCAGACGGAGCGGAGAGTGAAAGGCCCAGTGGCGTAGAAAGACCTAGAGAAATGTAAAAAAAAAGGAATTGCATAATAATTTCAAAAACTGACAATGTAAATCTGATCGTTTTGAGCATCATCAAAGACTGAGACACAATAACTGTTTTATAACACTAAATAAACACCAAAAACCTTGACAGTTGTAATTTTTGGAAAACACTGGCAGCCTTCAGATTCTATAGACAATATCAAAGTTAAAATGTTAAGCTTATGGACCTCGCTCACTCATTGCACCTTTAAAGCTTATTTTAATGCAGTGTCAAATGCATTACTGTTGAAACAGTGTTAATCCCCCTGGAAGTAAAACAAACTTCTCTTTTACTACCTGGCTCATCTCCGAAGGAGGTGTTAGCAGAAGAACCGCCAAAGAACTGCTCTCTAAGACGAGACTCGGGCACTGGGCTGACGATGAACCTTCGGCCTGCTGAATGCACCACCTGCGCCGTAGTGCTGGGGGAAATGCCTGAGAGAACAACCAAAGGGAAGGCAAAGATGTGAGACCGGAGTTTGGATCAATATCAATACGCGGACTGGAGCGGTGCGTTTCCCCGCTAAGGTTTGTTTACCTGGCAGCATGGGAACAGACAGCTGGGGCTGTTGTTGGTGGTCACTCATCTGCAGAGATAAACATACAAATGCGTGTGGTGACGTTGTCCGGCTCAGCGTGTGAGTCAAAATGCATCATCATGGGTGTTGTAAAGAAATACCTGGGGAAAACCGTCCTTCGTGCCCCGCCCTTTCTCATCGGCCATTTCTATGACTTCCCGGACCTGCTCGATGAAGGACTCTCGTTCACTTTCCAAGATGAATTCACTCGCCACCTGAAACAGAAAGCAAAAGAAGTTGAACTACCGTGACAAGCTCTGTGTGGTACAAGAACGTTCCACGTGTGGTCGGAATCTGTGACAGTCATTGGTTGAGGCAGCAGGTATTAAAAAGGGGCCCCAACATTAGTTATACACCTCCACTTAATAGTTTTAATCATTAATCAGTTGGCTCTTCATTGTCTTTCGTGCTTTTAGGTTGTAGAAAGTGCTTTTTACAAACCCATGTTATTATATTAAGTGTTTGCAAATAAAAAAGGTAATGTTTTGTGCATGGGGGAACAAAAGCCTGTACAATCCAGACTCACAATTGAAAAGTGTAGAATAAAATCTCTCTCAGCATCAGTAGAATAATAATATAACAAAAATAAAATAAATCACCATTAATTAGGCAATGATTAAGGTTCAGACATAACAAGTTTGGTATCTGAATTACACACCATTCTTGCTGTTAAAATAGTCATCATTTATGGAAAGAAGACCGATATTAAGACAATGGGTAACTTGTGTTGTTGGTAGCCTTTGCTCTCGTCTTCTTCGTCTGACCAGTTGGCCAGTTGCAAATGGGATTTGTGATAAAGGTTATACTTTATAAACACTATAAACAGTGTGTATTATACTGAATGTATTTATTGTTACAAACAACCATTAAACACTAAATTCCTGGATGTGTGGAGGAAACCACTATTACCATGATCTGTGCAATCTCCTCTGGATTATCACCATCAAGGTCAAATTTGAAGGTCACCATCTTCCTGTTATGAGTCTCCAGCTGGCATTCTGCTACTCGATCTCCCACATTAGAGATCTGCAAAGCATCCGTTCAAGTTAAATTGCTTCCTTGACAAGGAGCTTAAGACAGAACAGGAATTAACTCATCACTTTGAACACATACACTGAGAACATTGAGCTTGGCCTTGGCGAACTTCTCGTGGCGGGAGCGGCTGCGTACGGATCTCCGCTGGTGACGTTTCATGGAGCGCCCCTCGTGGCGACCCCCCGATGTAGAGCCTCCATCATTGCCGTCACTGAGACCTGAGGCGGCATCCGACAGGCAGCTGAAGGAAATGGAGCGGTGAGACAGAGCTCTGACCCACGGCTGCTGGTGGACCGGCTTCATGAAAATAACTTCTTACACTTAATATCTTCTTACCTCTCTATAGACGGAGGCACTAGCGCAGACGATCTCGCCGGCTCCGCTGGCGCTGACTGAGGAGCGCTCGCTGAGGCCTGAAACACAGACAGCCGTCTCATCAGGAATCAAGCACGCAAAAGCAAAATCAAAAGCAAATCTCTAAATTGTTTGCGCATTACTCTTTTGAAAGGGAACAGGACTGGAAATGCAATAACTGGTTGCCAGTCACCAACCGTAGCCGATCGGTCTAAAATCTGGGACAATCCCCATCTCCCCCTGAACCCGGAACCATCAAAGACTTATCGGACGTCACCTGGTCAGTTGGTGGGTGTGAGGGCTTTAAATTGTGTACATATGAATGGCACAGCGCTTTGCTGCCACATGTCCAGTCACCGAAACAACGTTTCAAGGATTTACAATTGAGGGTATTTATTTAATACTTTGGTTTGAACGTCTTAAGCGCTTTCCTCATACAATGAGGTCATTTTAAATAATGTTTTACGCTTTTTTGTCTGAATTGCTTTGTTGACTGGATAGACAAATATTAGTTAAATATAGTCTGATTTTATGATTTTTTTCTCCATGCACACACACGTGTCCTCCTGCGTGTTTAACCTTTTTTTACACCTCTGCTTTCACTGGAAATCCTGTTTTTGACGTCACATTGTAAATACTTGCGGGTAATTCCCTTGGCAAAGGGTTCATAAAGAGCTCAATATGCCTGAGAGCCTCTAACATTGAATGATTTGACAATGGGACCGAAGTAAACCCTCAGTTAACGGGAGCGCCTCAAAGTCCGTGAGTGCGTAGTTTCACATTGGGATTGTGCGCATGTCTCCCATGTGATCACACGCGGTGAGCGCACGCTTGGCAGCCATGCCTCCTTGCAGTCAATGCTTGCAGGCAGCATGACGGAGCGGAGCAGGGAGTGAGCTCTGATCACGTGACATATCGGGCCAAAAAATATACGCCATCGTTTGCCTTTAACGTAGTGGCAGCGCTGCTTTTTTGGTATCGATGCGCCGTGCAACACTAGAGGGAACCGGTTTAAATTCCTAAGGAGCTCAAAATGATTACTTTTTCTGATCAAAGAAAGGATTTTTTTACAAATTGTTAAACAAAGCATTTAGAATTTTTTTACAGTTTACACTGGTTTTGGGAAAGTTTAAATTATTTTCGGGACTGACTAAGGGTGTTATTTGCAGTCAATAATAGTCTGTGGTAAGATGCATCTCTATTGAGGACTTCCAGTTAACTCATCATCTATGTGCCATTCCCATTCAAAAATATATATATATATATGTGTATATATATATTAGGGATGGGATGATTCACCGGTTCGCACAGATGCATCTCTAACAGTTTCTATGCGCGCTCATCTCCACTGCTGTCAGTGGCCGATTCTCGTGAAGTCTCGCGCGAGTTGGAGGGAGAGCGTTACCCTGGCGAATGGAGAGTTAGACGTCCCGAAAACTTGCAATAAATCCAAGGTTTGGCAACACTTTGGATTTCCAAAGAAAGATGGGAAATTCGATAAATCCCATCCCATCTGTAAAATATGTCGTGCTGCCATAAAGCAGCACACCTAATTTAGGGACGCACCTGAAGAGGCGACATGGTGAGACGTCTGCCTCCTCCTCAGATTCAGGGACGCTACAGTGGCTCTGCCAGTACAGTTTGTGGATCAACTCATATTCCTTAAGAAAAACCTCAAAATCGGACAAATGAGTGTGATTAAATAAATTTTGTGTGTGAGGCATTGATCCATATGTTTAGAATGAAGCAAATTCTGTTGTGACTGCCAGGTATAATTAAAAAAAATGTTACATTAAGAGAACACTTACACACACACACATATACACATACATGTTATCTTGTCAGAGACCTTGTTTATTATTTGTTGTCTGACAAATAAATAAATCATTATGTACCATATTAAATTGCATAGAATTATATTATTTTGCATCGCATCTCGTTGAATCGCATCTTGTCGAATCGCACTGCATCGCAATAGGGGTGAATCGTATCGTATCGCATTAGTAGCTTTTATGTATCTTTAATGTATCGGATCGTTGGCAGTGCATCGAGATGTGTATCGCATCGTCCTCAGTGATGGAGATGCACATCCCTAATATATATATATATATATATATATATGTATATGTGTGTGTATATATATATATATATATATATATATATATATATATATATATATATATATATATATATATTCATTCATCAGACCATCCACCAGGTGGCGCCGTTTTGCTTACTGAGACATGATTGGCGTAAAAGAAGTGAAGCCATTATTCACCTCACAGACAGAATGTAAATGTTGCTGTATAATGGGGTTTTCATATAATTTCCTTCACATTGTGCAAATTCGTCTCTGCTGTGCTTTTTTGTTAGTTGGTTACGTTTGTACAGGAAACTGCAGTTGTATCATTTCCAGTTATATTATAACACTGTGACCTACTTCTCCGTGATAAAATTAGTGTATTCTTACTCACTTATTAATTTCTACTTCTTATTATTACTATTACAGGGACATGGGTTCATTGTAGGTATTGTTTTTCAGTTAAGTAAAACCTTCATTATTAACACATCACTGTTTATCATAAATCTATAAGACAATACATAAAATATTAAGGAACAGGAACTGTGTAAGGAGATGTGAACCAAATGCCTCACATCCGAGCCACCAGCACCAATCAAAAGAGCGTTTGTGCTCTGTAGAGTACCTGCAGCACCGAGAGGCATGAGGCCTGATAGAGGAAGTATAGGTGCTCTGCGTTGAGTGGAGGCGACAGAATAGGGCTTGGGTCATTGGCCCAAGACTAAGAATCATGCAGGAGTGAGCAGCATGCAGTCAGGAAGAGTGGCAGAAGAAAGGAGACAGCCATCGTAATGACAGACGTTTGTCCAGAGAAAAGAAAAGAAAAAATATTTAGATGAGACACAAACGTTAAATTAGAAAAGCATGAAACACAATGTGGTGAAGCATGACGCCAGTGTATGTAGGTGGATGTGTGTGTGTGTGTTAGGAGGAGCAGGGGAAGTCTATGTGTCACCTGTATCTGCTGAGCTCCAGTCTGCGCCTGTGGTGGAGCGCCGCTCTGGAGAAGAGGGCCGCTGTCCGGCTGCTGCGGCGGCGCCGGCTGAGGGGGAGACGATTGTGAGGATGAAGGCAGCATCACCTGCTGGTTGGGATTCTGTGAGAATGGAAGGGACAGAAAGGGGAAATCTTTTTATAGTTTCACTTTGGCTCCACTGCAAACCCAGATGCACTTACCTGTCGCACAACATGGCTGCAATACTCATTGATCTATTTCAGAGACCTCTAACGTGCACGTCAGTCCACACATGCACGTTTCTGAAAAGTATTTGATGTAATATTCTTTGTCTGGAACCCAATCACGTTTCCATTTACGATGATCAAGTCCAAACTTACCAAATATCCTTGAAAATGTCTATTCTATTCTATATTCTTTTATTTTCATGTGGGTGTAATTTCAAGCGATAAAGGAAAGTGGGACATTTTTATCTACCTGAGGGGGAAGCGTTGGTTGGTAGTAAACTCCATACTATAAGAAACCAAACATAACAAAATGGGTGAGAGTAGGAAACTGGAGGAGGAAAAAGGAAACCTAAAGAAAAATATAACGACACTGGTGAACTCTGGATTCAGAAAACCGAGCTGCTTTCAAAGCAGCAGCAGCAGAGAATACAAGCTTCACGTTAGCTCAACTGCCTCTGAAAACAATACAGTGCTTTTGCTGACCTTAAGTGGTTGAAGTTCACATTTGTTGCAGCGATACTGGAGTGTACTTACGCTGTGCTCAGTACGACCTGGCACTATTAACTTTGTTGTTGACTTTGAACCATGGTTTAACCAAGTGAGGTTTAAGTTACTCTTTGAAGACTTAACGACACGCCGTGCAGCATTTACCTGTGCAGTCGTCCCTGGAACAGGCTGTCCGCCGGGTGCAACAGGACCAACATTAGACTGGACACCTTGCAGCTGAACCTTGTGCACCACAGAAAGAGAACAACAGCTTGTGGTGAAAAAGAACGCAGACATTTAGATGATCACATCCCAAGACCAAAGAATAGGTCAAAGGGTAAGGGTCTATAGTCTGTAAATTTAAAAAACTTGATTCTAATTATATAGGCAATGCCGTGCCATGATTATCTTCGGCACACAAGATTTTGTCCCATTGTCGACTGGACTCACCGCTGACAACTGCTGCTGTTGCATTTGGTCACTTTGTGTCTGAGGGAGTGAAGCTTGGGGCTGGAGGTGCTGCCTCGGAGGGGAGGATATGTAGGATATTCCAGGCTGAGGAGGCTGGACTTCAGGACGGATGCTGGAACCTGGTAGTTTGTCTCCCATGTGAATGGCGGCTGTATGAGGTGGACGAGAGGTTCAATGTATGAAAATACTCAAAAGCTTATCTTTAACGACAGGATCCTATTGTCGCTCAGTGAGCTCCAGGTGTAGTTAGCCAAAACCATCTTTGATACACACCTCCTCCAGAGTGCTGTAGTTGCTGGTCCATCTCAGACTCCTCTGACTCTGGCAGGATGGTGGTCCCAGTCTGAGCCTGTCCTGGGACTGCCACTGGGACTTGCCCAGTTGACTGAGGGATGTACGGAACGCCCTGTGCCATACCGGCCAGTTGGGTTGATTGGGGAGTGCTGTAGATGGAGCCCTGAAGGCCCTGCTGAGATGCAGGTTGGGTTGACAGATGCGGAGTAGCATAAGCAGCGGGCTGTGTCGCTGGCTGGGACTGAGGCACCTCCGGGCCCGGCTGCTGGGCCGCTGGCTGTGCTGGAAGTAACGGACCCTGCTGTTCTTCTTCCAGCCTTCTCTTATCCTGATCTTCTCGAACCTTCAAGACAAAAAGATTTTAGAAATCACTAGAAAGGACTGATTGACAACATGCCGACACCACAGGTACATTACACCATAGGACTAAGATTCCCACAAAACACTTCAGAATAATAACATGAGATTCAAGAGGCAGAGCGTCGACCCACCTGCTGCCGTTGTGCTCTTTTGCGACTGATCAAAGACACTCTGTCCTTTATTGCCTTTGCAATGGTCTTGTGGTCACCATCACACACATAACCAGACTCAACCTAAAAAAACAAGGGACATGGCATGACATTTAAACAATGAACCTTTCAAACAACAACAAAAAAGGTTCTCTTGTACAGTGTTAATAGGTTTTTGAAATAAAAAAATAAAAAAGACTGATTCAACAATAAAGTGAAATTCACCATTTCTTGAGCCACGTCCTCAGGGACATCTTTGCTGAGGTCAAAAGAAAACTCAATAGCTTCGTTGTCTTTGTACTTCCCCTTAAGTTTTTTGACATCCTCAATTCGCAGCCACAGCTTAATAGCCACCATCTCTCCGTCGTCTTCTTCTGCCAACTCCACCCGCACCCCTGTGTCCTCCTGGAAGAAGGCGTGGTTCAGGAGGTCTTTGATCGAGTACCTAAACAAAAAGGAGACGAGCGGTCAGCAAAGTTTTCCTGGAGACCTCGGCTACCGTAAACCTGCTAGATGCGCTCGGTTTAACGACCTCTCGTCCTTGTTCTGGCGGATACATCCCTCGATGATCTCCTTCACTTCAGGAATGGCCACCTTGTCGAAGCTGCCTGGCTTCACCCCCTACAGGAAACACAGAATCCTGAATGAGAATGGTTCTACTAGTCATACAACCTTTTCTTTTCACCTGGTGTTCTTCTTCAGCTCAGAGCCTCTACCTTAGTAACACAAAACCATTTCTCATAGACTAGATTACTTGGATCTTTTCACTAACTTCCTCTTTCAATTGTGTTTACGAGAATGAATCTCAAAAGCCAGGAAGTATGTCAACGGTAGACAATGGGCAAAGAGAAAGAAATGCTTCCTAGAGGCTGGTGTGTACAATTTACAGAATGTCAGGTGAGGGCTGATGAGAAGAATTGATCAATTATCTTCAGAAAACAGCATGGTGCCAAAGAGAAATGGAGGGCTGGCTGATCAGCTGAGCATAACGACAGCACAGGAAGGACGACACTACCTAAATGTAGGCGTAATCCCGCGATACCAAAGCTGAGTCAACCGTGCTCAAGCAGAGGGACAAGTTAAACAACACGTTTCTCCAGGACGTCGTCTAAGTTTACGCGTTCTTCAAATGGAGCAATAGAAAAGATTGGGGAGATGCAGGAATGTAACTCAAACAGTACAAGATAGAAATGTAATGTAAGCTTGATAAAGGGGTGTTCTTTCCAGAATCGGACGCTAGCCTTCTTGGCACATAGGAAGAGGTGAAGGCAGAGGGGTGGCATGGAGTGTTGAAAAAAAGACTTACGCTGGTGACTCTGCGGTAGATCTGTGCAGCGTTCTGGCACTCTGAGTAAGGGTACTCTGAGGTGGCCATCTCCAGCATGCACATTCCAAAGGCATACACATCCACTGACTCGTCGTACTTCTCCTCATACATCTCAGGCGCCATGAACTCAGGGGTACCTTAAATCAAAACAACTATTCAGAACTCTCCAACTCCCTTACTGATTGAGCGGGCTTCTCACAGCCCATTGCCCCTCTGCTCCTCCAACCCGTGAGGGGTTGAGGAAGAGGAGGACGAGAGGAGTGACCAGCCTGTTGACATCTCCCAGGAGGAGAACCTGTGAGGTGAAAGTCGGAAGAGAGAAGAAAAGAAAAAAAGGGGGAGGAAAGTAAAAAAAGAGACAGAAAACAAAAAAGGAAGGAGAGGCTGGGCTCAGTTAGAATGCAGAGAAGAAAGCACGTGTTTGTCTGTGTAAGACCGCAGCATGTTGGGATACGAACAGGAGGCCGAGGTAGCCAATGTGCAGAACACACGTGTTGTAGCCAAACTCAGGTTCTCCAGGGCAGAGTACAGTGTAGTTTTAAAAAAAAGGGATCTCAATGACGTCTGCAAAGGAAATAGGCCTCACTATGGAAACAGCTTTTGTCAAGACTTTACCGTTCAACCACATGGTCTTTTATAGAACACTCACCTTCTGGAGTCGGACTTACCATCTCTTCTTCTCTACTGCAGGAGGAAATGGTTATGGTCAAGGCTGAGAGAAGCAGATCCCATAGCTAGCTACCGTGCTCAGCGGTGTGTCTTTGCACATTGGCCCTGTTCTACTAATTGATTCGTTTTACATTTAATCTCTGGTCTTACACAGAAAAACGGGTTATTTGAATGTAATTGTTTTTATATTGATGTGTGTTACAGCACACTTACCAGGCCCATTAAAGTTCATACTTACTCAATGACCAGCAGTACCCTATTCATTCCAAACAGCAAAATGGGTCACAGCTGAGGCTAGAGCCTACATTTTAAAAACATACCCAAGAATGTGAAAGTAAAAGTAAAATAAGACAAAAACCAAAGGCAAAAGGCTGACAGAGAAAGAGTTGGCAGAGCCTCCTGGACACAAAGACGGATCAAAAAGATTCTGCAGCCCTGCAAAATTTTAAAAGATAGTAAGAGACAAATACTAGAAAGAAAAAAAACCTGTTGAGGCAAACCCATAGAAAAGAGTCGTTAAATATTATAAATATAACTGGCAAACAGACCACATATTTCCAAACCACAGAACAAAGACAGGTCTAAGACAGAAGCAAAGGCCATACCTTAAGCAATGGCCAGGTCAGCCTGCAAGAAGGCATGAAAACTATTATAATATTAATATTTAACAATATGAGAAATGTTAGGCGCTACTTACATTCAGTAGTTGCCTGGGAAAAAAAGAAAACCTTTTTTTCGAGAAACATTCTGTACAATGACCAAACTTGATGGAATCACTGTGCAAAAGAGAGAAAGCCTTGTGGTTATCTGCCTAAGATCACCACAGAGTTCGGGCCTCCATTTGAGCTGTGGTTTGAGAGACAGCTGAAATGCTGTGGTCTGTTTTTGAACCACATTGTGAGAAGAACAAGCCAAAGCAAGATACCCTCTCTGAAACACCATCATCTCCAATACAAACACACTACGACCTCAGAAAAGGTGCTGCCCCTCAGCGGAAGGGACCACAAGGTGGAAATGACTGCGGAGTCGTACCTATAACACTCTTGGCAAAGGATGCTCGCTTGAGCGTAGCCAGTCCCAAGTCTCCAATCTTGACGGATCCTGTTGGGCCTGTGATGAAAATATTGTCGCACTTGAGGTCCCTGTGGATGATGGGGGGAGCCCGAGTGTGGAGGAAGTGGAGCCCTTTGAGGATTTGTCTACACCAGCTTCGTAGCACTTTGATTTTCATCACCTTGAACCGTTTCAGATATCTACAAGAAAAAAAGATCATCATTTTTGTCTGGTGAGGAACACAGAAATAACAATGCATTGTACGGAAAAATATATTTGTTTGACAATTTCCTAATTATATTACCAGTTCATGCAACGTTTAGCAAATGCTGCTTTCTGACACAAGACAAAAAAGTGAAAATATTTACAATCAATAGTCAGGATGAGGTTTTTTTTTTTTTCATCAAAATAGTGAAACTATGAGTTCTATATTAATGTGTTTGTTTGTGACTCACGTTTTGAGTGTGCCAGAAGTCATGAGTTCAGTGACCAGAACAATGCACTTCCTGCCTTTGGAGGGTCCCTCCCAGGAGTCGTAAAAGCGGACAATGTTGGGATGCTGTAGTCCTTTTAACATCCCTGCCTCCTCCTTAAAGCGCTGCCGCTCGGTTTTTGACAGCTTACGGTCCTGCACGAGACAGAGAGGATCTACTTTAAGAATGCCACACATCAAAGAGGGCAGCGCGATTAGAAATATACAGATTAATTTGGATTGATGACTATTTTTACTAATGCATCAATGACTAAACATTAGTCTGTATATACACTTATTGGCACCTTCAATACAAAATGCAAAGTAAAGCTTAAACCAAGACAATTCTGTACTCTTAACAAATAAATGGTCAAATGTTTGGCATCTGATGAGTTTGTCAATTAATCCCAGCAAAATGAATGCAAAGCTGAAAGCCCCGTCTTTCCAATTGATTTCAACCTACCAGAAACCGATCGATGTGCAAATAAAGATTAGCAGGAAGGCATGTAATAAAGGTCTACGTATAAAATGATAATTTAAAAAAAGATCAGGACTGTGTACAACGGTGCGTCTCAAATTGAATGAGTAATTAGTATGACCTACATTAACGTCATGCACGACTATAGAGCAGCGAGTCCATGAAAGTTGGACAAGCTCAGTGTAAACCCCCTCCCTCCCCCGAGGACATGGTCAGGCTGTCCACTAAATTCAGCAAAATTGTGAATGGAGAGGGAAAGGAAAACGTCCAGGGGAGTGACATCACAAAAAAAGCATAAATTAAATTGCTAGAGTAGTTTATGGTTGAATTCTTTCAATATTAACAATATAGGGAAACGTAAGTTGACAAGTAGGCACAAGAGAGAACAATGAATCAGGGACGTCAACGGAAGGGGCGAGTAATGGAGGTTCCACAGTGTACTTGGCCTACTTTGCTGAGTAGTTAACTGTTTGTGTAATAAAGCACAATACATCCACAGCAGCTTCCATAACCTTGGAGCTCCTAGCGTAACCTCAGCAGCCTCCTCCACAAATACTCAAATACGGTATTAATGGCAGCAAGTCGACCGGAGACAAACCGCCCAATTGATGACTCAACTGAAATGTACGAGTCCAAACAATGAACTGTAGAGAATGCGGACGTGCACACTGTGACGTCACCCGTAGGTTCTTGAAGAGCCCTCGTGGAGCGCGAGGAGGAAACGTGTCGCATAGCTCTGTTAAAAGCATGCATGACAAAAATGAATAGGAAAGGCAAACCGCAAAAATGATCTTCTGGGCACATTTGCTTGACAAACAGGTGTCTCTCTGCATCAGCTGAGGCTGCTGTGTCTCGCTTATCCCACCTGAGCCCCAGTTACTCTTCAATCCATAAAACCATTCAATTATGTAGCTTGAAAAACTTGGTTGAGATGGTTTGACTGTAAAACCTCCCAGAAGACGTGGCCTTGGAGCACTACTTTGACCATTTTGAGGGAGCGGCTCAAAGCGTCTATTAATCAGCGAACCTGAAGCGTCTCTCAGAGGACACCAGCAGCCGCAGTCGAATCAGAGCGGCATGCGAGAGAGGGAGAAGGCATGATGAGTCAGCTCGCTAAACAGCTGCGCTGCCACCGCTAGCAGCTGGGAAAGACTGCCCTTATGGACTCTGAACACGAAGAAGCAAGAGAATGTGCTTGGGAGAGACAAAGAGCAAATGCTTAATTTCATGGAATACTATACAGAACGAGAACGCTGCAGAATTTATTTTTTATTTTTTAAACGGGTTAAAACATTTAATTGTTTTAATATATAAAGTGTGTTTTAATATAGAGTGTAATGCACAACATGTAGCCACCTTTACAGAAGCCCTGTAAGCATTTAAAAAATGTGCACACCTCCGTAACCCGGGGTTTCCAGCCAATGGGAATCAGATCTAATGGCAGGTAACTACAAAGCTGCTTCTAAGCATCATAAATAAATTAACAATGCTAAAAATAGAGGGGGGAAAAACAGCCTGTGATCATGCCACGGGCTGCTCTGTCAGGTTTCTGTTCTGAGCCTGACACCGAGGGCTACATGAAGCCTCGGGATCACATGGGCTGAGCTCTGGGTAACAGCTGATGGGCCTGAAAGCCAAGAGGGCGTGTTAAAACTGTTCCAACCTAAATGTCGCTGAGTCATTGCATTGAGGGCAGCCTGCGTTTATGACGTTTTTAGACCTGTGACTCATGCGAATGAGGGCAAAGATCACAGTGACTTTCAGCCAAAACTGTCAGCAGATGACAACACGATGCGTCCAAGCCATTTCACAACCTGTATGACTACTCATCTACTCTGAATGTGGAAGAAGAAAAGGAAACTGGGGCAACCACTTCAATACACAGCAAAAGAAGGTGCGAGTTCAAACGGCACAAAAAAAACTACCATTACCAACGAGGAAGTTATTGGAATCTGATTTGATAACCATCGATAACTACTTATTTTGCGCTGTGATTTTGTGGGAATCAGACTATTTAATGAATAAGTATTTATGTTCAAAGCAAGGTGCTTCCAACGGTCATTATTTGGAAAAGGCCTAGATGATGATGATATACACACATGTATATGTATGCTCGCTATAATCTATGTAACTGTGAGCCACTTATGATCGTCATTCGAGATGTCCAAACCTTATTGCGAGATGATTGCTTAAATTCACTTCAGAACTTGTTTTGCAATGACAGGAAAGGAACCTGTTGGTCCAATGAATCTAGACTAAAAGACAAATTGATCCTGTTCAGACAAGCCAGCACAGTGGCTGATCATTTTTGCCCACGTGTCAATGCACGGGACGAACTATCCTATTTCCTGCGGTATTAATGCCATCAGCATTCAGATAATGTCTCAAAATGAAAGCGTTTAAGTATTACTGCTTATTTACCTCCTGCTCTATTATTTCCTAATCCTAAATCTGTTGCAGCCGACATATAGAAATAAGCAATGGATATTCATTATGGCTTCCCCAATGACTGCCAATCATGAAGGGTAATAACAGACAAATCACTGTGCTTAGCTACTACTGAACGTCCCTCCCAGCAGATGAAAAAGCGGCTCACGTAGGTTCTACGGGGAGAGTGAGACTGCAGTGGGAGGAGGTGGGGAGGAACAGAGTGGAAGATGACAGGGTTGAAGAGGGATGAGTGAGCAAGAAAGGGGAGGCTCCTAAATCTATTTATTTTCTTCCCCTCGACTTCCTCTCTGCGGTGACCTACTTTTTGTTCAGGCACGCCTGCGACTTGGGAGCAAAAAAAAAAAAAAATGTGTGGCTGATTAAGGTTGGACGCCAAGACATACTTTGACAATTGTCAAGGCACGGTGGGAGATAAGACGGAGTCGATCGTTTGGTCAATAAACTCTTCAGAGAGAAGTATCTCCAACTAGTAAAGAACCTCTCACAACATTTGGCACCAAATTTACCCACGTGGAACAATTCAGGTCACGACCACCACACCAATCACAGAAAGATATTATGTGAAGATTAGACAATGTCATGAGGAGAAACCTTCTGGCTGACACCAGTCCCAGTGAGCCAATGAGGCGTATGGCCGATTCCATCGCATCATTGATTGTGGCATCAAGAAAAAAAAAACAAATAAGCAATTTTACTTGATGAGTCTGTACCAATTGCCTGAACAGTGCCGAAACAATTCTGATTTAGACTAAGGTTGTATTGTTCATGAAACCACAGTAGAAATGTGTCAATATACTTGACACCTTTCTACTCAAAGAACATGATACTTTTCCACTAAATATACCATTGGGATACATGGGGGGATGGAACCCACAGCACAGTCATGGGAGGGATTTAAAAAAGAAAATGTGAGGGGGGATTTCAGGTTGTGTAGCTGAACCGTTTTCTAGAACTGAAATTCAAGTTGACGTATAAACTATATGAAAAGAGAGCATTAGGTTTCTCCAGAACTTTCAATGCGTAACAACCAAAGTTGACAATCAACTGTAAAACATTTCTATTAATCCGCTCTTTAAGTCACAGTTGACTCTAATCTGTAATCTTTTTTTTTTTTGTCAGTCTGAAAAATATTCAACTTTCAATCAGTAACTAAACCGACACACAATCATACATCTCTTAAGCAACCCGGCTCTGGTGACCTGTGAGCTTCTCTTGTTGTTAGTTATGGCCACGAACACTAAACAATCAATAGTATCAAGAAACAGCATCTCACATTTACATATAATTTATATGCGCACACATGCACACAAATGTGGAGCAGTTAAAAGGGCAGTGGGGGGACTTGACAGGCCGGCCTGCTGCACTTCATACAGGAGATTCCTCCGTCAGGAATGTGACCCATTTTACATTAACACCAGCATTGGGAGCAGGAATGCACGGAGCATGCCGCCTGATCCGGTCTTAGTGAGGGGGAGGGGCGGGTGTCTGTAATCTGCACATTTTTTTGAAACCAGTGTGCATGTGCTTCCATGTGAGGCCTCTCATGACGGGGTGAAAATGTGACATTTGTGCGGTGAACGAGGTCAAATATACCTACGGGCCATGTTTCTGACTTAAAAAAAGGAACAGACAGTCAAGCTACCATTTTTAGCTTAATAACTATCTGTTGGTCAGCAGATTAAAAGCAAGATGATGAATTATCTTAAACAGGACCAGTGTATTTATATATATTTAATAAAATCAAATAGGGTCAACAATTAGTAAATGGGAAGTAAATTAAGGCTCATAGAATGATTTAGGAAAAAGTGCAAAACTGGTCATGATTTTGAAAAAGTTTAAGTGAAATATTACTGATGTTGCTGCAATTGGGATGGGAAATAAGTTTTACTGACACGTCACATCAAGATGTGTATCAATAAAAATACATTTTATCCGATTTCCTCTCACAAGGTAAAAACACAACATGGAGACTACTTCTGACTAGGATTATAGTCAAAGATAATTTGGGGATTTACCTGAAGGTTCTTTTAAAACCATAGCTGTACAAGGCTTGATAAGTCTGGGTAATTTGCTTGTGTGTTACGGTGGGGTTAACTTTAATTACTTGAACTGTTCAGACTAACGAGTGGTCACACTACCAGATCCAGAGAATGACTGTGAGAGCGAGGAAGAGGGCCAGGGCCAGGCACCACTGAAACACTGCACCTCACAGAACGTGTGTTAGCCA